GCTCCATAACTCTAAGGAATACTTATGGTTTTTGCTTTCTCGCACGTTCGTTTCCGATGCGCTCTTGAGGCCTCAAGATAGCCCCAAGACGGCCAAACAGAGCACCAAAAGGGGCCCAAACGGGACGCATGACGGCCCCAAGAGCGCTGCATAACAGCACCTAGAAGCCATTTTTGAGCATCCGAGGGCGGGGGGGGGACCTTCTCGTTTTGAACACTGGTGCCCAAAATTGTACAAGATGCCTCCCAGATCCCCCCAAAGAGCCCCAATAGGACCCTTAGACCCTAAGAGGGCCCCATGAGTGCCCCAGGCGGCTCCGCGAGGACCCCAAGAGAGACCCAAGATGGCTCTAAGAAACCTCCAAGAAAAAACTTCTCGGGCGGCTGTTGCACTGCATGCATGTTTCTACACTTCCCTGATCAAGGCAGGTTCTAGCAGTGTTCAAACTGATCAAGTTCGCTTCGCTGGAGGGTTCTAAAAGTGTTCAAAGACTCATCTCACCAGAATCTCTACGGGGGAGGCCAGGGGGAGCGTCTCACTGGCCCGGCGGCGGTCCGGATCGACTCATCATTGTGTTCTCGCTCGATTCCAGCCCTCGCAAATCCAGAAATGAGACTCACTCTGGTGAAATTGCTGGATTCGGGGTGGAATGAAGCTCAATTTTGATTTCTGGTTCGGTCTCAGCCCTCCGCCCAGATCCAGAAATAATACTTACTACTAATTACCCCCGTCAAAATTGACCTCAAAAATGGCGACCACGCCCCTGCGATGTCGGCGCGCCCTTCAATGTCGATGGACGCCCCTCCAATGTCGGGATCAGGGCAAAAGTGGTCAGACCGGGAACGACTCGGAAGTTCGATGATGACCGACGTTGGAGAAGCGGCGCATACAAGTACCTCGCAGTCACCGCTACTCTGTCCAAGATCTCCCCACAGACAGTTCAGTTACGTAAGACATGTTGCATTAATTTTGACGAGGGTTGTATGTGCTGGCTCGATTGTGTCCTGATATGCAGCTCACTATTGCGTTTTGGCTGGATTCCAATTCAGAGATTGCTTCAAAAGTCTCTCCACAGGGGGGGTGGGGAGGCGAATGTTCTGGCACGATTTCAGCCATCGCAGATCCAGAAATGGGACTCACTATGGATTTTTGGCTCGATTTCAGCCGTCGCAGATCCAGAAATTGTGGCAAGGGCATCGTCTTCTCACCATTTCAGCTGTCATGTTTTGGCTCCCTATCGCTCGTCGCACATCCAGAAATAAGACTCGCTATAATGTTCTAGCTCGGTTCCAGCTGCCTTTGGTCCAGAAAGTGTTTCAGTAGCGTGGGAGTCTCACCATTTCAGCTGTCCTAAGTCCAGAAAGGGTGGCAGGGCTATCGGCTTCTCACCATTCAAGCTGCCAGAGGTGCAGACAGTGTGGCAGGGGCATCGGATTCTAATCGTTCAAGCTGTCCTAGGTCCAGAAGGTGCGGCACGGACATCGGATTCTCACCGTTACAGCTGTCCTAGGTCCAGAAAGTGTGGCAAGGGGGCATTGGACTCTCACCGTTCCAAGCGCCCTCGGTCCAACGGATTCTCACCGTTCCAGTACTCCTCCGTCCAGAGAGTGTGGCAGGGCCGTCGGGTTCTCACAATTCCATCTGTCTTGGGCCCATCACCCTCATCAGCAAGTTCAACTCCGTAGTCGTATCGACAATCTGATGGGGTCGCTTTCGCAAGCCAACGTTTCAGGCGTCCACCCGGCTCCACAGCTTAGCTGATATTAGGGTGCTTTGCTGGGGTAAATTCTGATCACCTGGTGCTTTCTAGGAGCCTATCGGATCCGTCTGGTGGGAGCATACCCGAGCCGTTTCGAGGGAGCTGCCGGGGAACCTCCTGGAGGCCGCCTGGGAGCCTCTGGGGGGCGTCTCGGGGGCGTGCTGGCTGTGGGGGGTCGGGAGGTGGGTTGAGCGCTCCAGAGCTGGCCCTGTTGGGCCTCCCCCGCAGCCGACTTGAGGGTCTCCTGGGCCGTCGGAGGGGCTCTCTCGAGCTATATGAGCGCCGTCCGAACGAATTGGGAAGCTTCTCGGGGCGGGTTGGGCGTCTTGTGGCCAGAGAAGCGATCGCAAGAGGAAGCGCGGAAAAACCCAACAACAATCAATAATTGTTCGTCCTCGTGGCCTTCTCGGAGGCCATATCGCAGCCTTGCGGAATCATGTGAGAAGATATGTTTTCAACCGGACTGTGCTGTATTTCCCCTGGACGTTGCTACCAGGGAGTGGCCTGGCTTTGCTAAGTGGCCTGGCTCTGCTAAGCTACTGAGCTGACACCATTGAAGATTTCAATCACCTTTGGGGCCACTCGCGGGGCAGGTCGTCGGCGCCGCACGAGCGGGCTCGCGGAGGCGCCGCCACCGAGGGCGCGGCGGGTGGAGTGAATGCCCCTCTGGCACGCGCTGAGCCCTGTATTGTTATATAGATGACGTCGGGCTCCGTCCTCGCCTCCCGCATCTCGCTCAGAAGCGCCAGAGCCCGCTGCCACTGCTCACCCTTCTGGCACGCGCTGATTCCAGCGTTGTAGCTGAGTGGGGCTGACCCGCAGCCTTCGGACCGCGGAATCTGCCCGCCATGGTGCGGACGTGGAAGTGGAGCGTCTCCAGGGCCTCGCGGGGTGGGGGAGTTTGGAGGGGACGGTGTGGATGGAGGAGGCGGCCGCTGGAGGGGGAGGTGGGCGAGAGATGCAGGCAAGCAGGCCCGAAGGCAGGAACGCGGTGGTGGAGGCGCTGCCAGTGGAAGCACACCCATATAGACCCGACATGGTGTGGACAGAGGCTGTTTCTCACGCCGCGCTCTAAGTCTCTAAGTTCATCATTATTAGCTTCTGCGGGGCGGGGCGCCGCGATATTTCTATCTGCTCTTCGCCGGGGCCGCATGATGATTTGATCTGGTAGTCTGGTGAGAATGAAGCCGGTGGGCATGGCCTTTGAGGCCCGCAAGTGGGGGCCAACGGCCCAAGAGGTCTCCAGGACGGGCCAAGAGGCTTCCCAGGCGGCCCAACAGGGCCCCACGAACTCCCAAAGACGGGCCCCGGTGCGAGGACACGAATCGACCTTTCGAGCGCACCGCCCCAAGATGTCCCCAAAAGGCCTCTTGGGTCGTCTTGAGCCGTTCTGGAGGCCCTCTTGGGGTCTTCTTGAGCCGTCTTGGGCCAATCTTAAGTCCTTCCTGCGGCTCCCTCAGGGCTCTTCCAGACCGTCCAGGGGCGAACTGGGGGGCATCTTAGTCCGTCGTGGGCGCCCTGAAGGAGTCAACATTGAATATGGACAAGGCTCTGAGGGTTGCTCTTTGGGCACCCTGGGCCCGTGAATGGGTCTGATTGGGCCGTCTTGAGACGTCTTGGAAGCGTGCGAGCTGCCCTTGGCCTCCCTTGGACCGCTCTGGTCGCAAATTTCGTGCCACCCAAAACGAGACAAGCGCGCTCCAGCACTCGCAAAATCCCACCAGCCCTTTGGGCGTGAGTGGTTTAGGGAGCTCTCTCTGTCCTCAACCCCCCTTCTTCCCCTTCGGGGAAGGGTTTACCCCTCCCCCTACCCCCTCCCCCTGGGCCTGGAGAGGGCGGGCCGCGGGTCGTCAGGGGAGTCTTTTTCAACTCCTGGGAGGGCCAAAAAACGACGACCCTCACGAGGATTCTGGCCCCGAGGGGGGGGAGGGAGTTTGGCGCCTGAACTCGTCGTTGAAGTAAAAAACATTGATTTTACTACGGTTTTGGCCCCATTTTGGCCTTCTGAGGGGGCCGCGTTCCTCTTCCTTCATAGCAAAATCATTGATTTTACGAAGGTTTTGGGCTCATTTTCTCCTTCTCAGGGGCCAGCGCTCCTTTGCGCTTCAGAGGGCCCCCAAGAGGCCCCAAGAGTCCCCCAAGAGGCCCCCAAGAGGCCCCCAAGAGGCCCCAAGAGGCCCCCAAGAGGCCCCCAAGAGGCCCCCAAGAGGCCCCCAAGAGGCCCCAAGAGCCTCCAAGAGCCCCCCAAGAGGCCCCACGAGGAGCCCGAACGACTCACACCAGGACGAGGGGCCCGAACGACTCACACCACGAAGAGCCCGAACGACTCACACCAGAAGGAGGGGCCCGAACGACTCACACCAGGACGAGGCGCCCGAACGACTCACACCACGAGGAGCCCGAACGACTCACACCACGACGAGGGCCCCGAACGACTCACACCACGAGGAGCCCGAACGAGTCACACCAGGAGGAGGGGCCCGAACGACTCACACCAGGACGAGGGGCCCGAACAACTCACACCACGAGAAGCCCGAACGACTCACACCAGGACGAAGAGCCCGAACGACTCACACCACGAAGAGCCCGAACGACTCACACCAGGAAGAAGGGCCCGAACGACTCACACCAGGACGAGACACCCCAAACGACTCAAACCACGAGGAGCGTTTTCTCTCCCTCCTCCTCCGCCTCGTCCTTCTCCCGCTGCCCCCACAAGGAGGATGTACAAGGAGGCGGGAGGAAGGAGGAACAGGGGAGATATGCGGGGCAAAGCGGACACACGCCTGAAAAACACAACTGTCGGCATGCTTCGCAAGAGTTGCTGTTGTGAGATGGGCTGGTGGGGATACGCGAAGCGTAAATAATAACAATTCGTTAATGGCCTGGACCCGCCGCGTGGGATTTACGATCCATAACATCGAGGAGCCCATAGTTTTTCCGGACGTTTACGAGTAGGCGCTTTGCGAGTAGCGGAACGCGCTCGGTGGAAAACTATCTTGAGCGGCCAGGGGGAGAACAGGGAGGCCGCGGAGGGGGGGGATGCTCAAAGGGGGGGGAAATCCAGGAGGGTGTGCCGGCCGCGTGTCTCCGGTGGGGATGACATGGGGCTCCAGCTTCGCCTCACACATCTCGCTCAGCAGCGCTAGAGCCCACTGCCACTGATCGCCCTTCTCGCACGCGCTGATCGCAGCGCTGAAGCTGATGACATTGGGCTCCAGCTTCGCCTCCCGCATCTCGCTCAGCAGCGCCAGAGCCTGCTGCCACTGACCGCCTTTCTCGCACGCGCTGATCCCACCGCTGTAGCTGACTAGCGTGTGCCCGTAAACTCCCGTCCACAATATCTTACTCGCATGCATAAATGAAGATCGTTCGCCTGCTTGCGTGATGCCCTGCGCGCATGGATGCTGGCCTCCTAGCCAAACAGCGTTCTCCCTGACGATCCTGCTTGCATGCTGGCCAGCGTGTCGTATACGATGTTTGCCCGCCTACCAGTTTCATCGATGGCGTGTCCGTTCGCTGCAGCTGCCTGTCGCTTACTGCTGTGTTTGCTTAGTGTTAGTGCTGCTGTTTGAAAACTGCTGCTGCTCCTGCCTGTTTGCTGGTGCAGGCTTCTGCTGATGCGGCTTGCTGCTGCTGCTGCTGCTGCTGCTGCTGCGCGCTGACGCTGCTTACTGCCTCTTGCCGCTGCTGTCGTTTCTGCTGATGCTGATTGCTGCTTGCTCTGCTTGCGCGCTGTCCTGCTTGCGTGGCTGCTATCCTCATGGCCTGGCGACTTCATTCTGAACCGTTCGCTGCGCCGTCGGGGTCTCTTGGGGCCAGCATGGGGATCCTTTGGCCATCGTGGGGCCTGCTTGGGTCTCTGGGGTTATTTTGGAGCCATCTTGAAGGCATCTGGGGCAGTCTTGGGGAGTAGGAGGCCCGAACAGGCGAGAACGCTGACATGCTGCAAGTACAGGAGGAACATCTATGAGTGAGACATCCTCAGGCCTTCCTAGAACAGCTCTTGGAGCCCCCTTGGGCCGACTCCGGGGCCTCCGGAGCAGCCGTCTGGAGTTTTTTTCCCCACATGCTTAGTGGGGTTATGGTTTTCTTCCCTCCCGCGTCGCACCCGCGTCTCCTCCTCCTCATCCCTCCTCCTCCTCCTCCTCCTCCTCCTCCTCCTCCTCCTCCTCCTCCTCACACAGCACAGCGCAGCGCAGCACAGCGCAGCGCAGCACAGCACACCACAGCTCAGCATAGCACGCAGCACATTGACACACAGCACGTACACAGCACAGCGCAGCACAGCACAGCACTGCTCAGCACAGCCTTCCTCGACGCTACAGGAGGTGCGCTGGGGGTGCGGTCGCTATCCGTTTCGGCCTCGCAAAGCGTGGCAGGCGTGACATTTCCTCGGCGCCACAAGGAGGGCGCTGGGGGTGCGTTCGCTATCCGCTTCGGCCTCGCAAAGCGTGGCAGGCGTGGCGCTCTCTCGATGCCACAGAGGGTGCGCTGGGGGTGCGGTCGCTATCCGTTTCGGCCTCGCAAAGCGTGGCAGGCGTGACACCTCCTCGACGCCACAGGGGGTGCGCTTGGGGTGCGGTCGCTATCCGTTTCGGGCTCGCAAAACGTGGTAGGCGTGACATGTTCTCGTTGCCACAAAGGCTGCGCTGGGCGTGCGGTCGCTGTGCGCTTCGGGCTCGCAGCGTGTGGCAGGCGTGGCACTTTCTCGTTGCCACAAAAGGTGCGCTGGGGGTGCGGTCGCTGTCCGTTTCGGCATCGCAAAGCGTGGCAGGCGTAGCACTTTCTCGACGCCACAGAAGGTGCGTTGGGGGTGCGGTCGCTGTCCGTTTCGGGCCCGCAAAGCGTGGCAGGCGTGACACCTCCTCGACGCCACACGGGGGTGCGCTGGGGGTGCGGTCGCTGTCCGTTTCGGCCCCGCAAAGCTTGGCAGGCGTGACACTTCCTCGACGCTACAGGAGGTGCGCTGGGGGTGCGGTCGCTATCTGTTTCGGCATCGCAAAGCGTGGCAGGCGTGGCACCCCCTCGACGCCACAAGGGGTGCGCTTGGGGTGCGGTCGCTATCCGTTTCGGGCTCGCAAAACGTGGTAGGCGTGACATGTTCTCGATGCCACAAGGGGTGCGCTGGGTGTGCGGTCGCTATCCGTTTCGGCCTCGCAACTCTCCTCTTGACTGGCGTCACCAACGGTATCGGCGGGGCAACGGCCACCAACATAATTCCCACATGCTTCACTTCAACTGTCATAACTCCAGCCATCATACTAGCCGGCCCAACGTGCCAGAGGCGTGCTAAGATCTCCGGTAACCGGTGAACAGTAGTTCTGGTTCGCGCGTGCGGGGCGGCCCCTGGGGCCCCCCCGGCGAAAAATACCCCGACCGCCGCCCGGGCGCAGCCCGGCCACCCTTTACTCAGAGATGCTTTCCCTCCTGGGTGCGGTCTCTGATGCCTCCCAGAGCGCGCCAAGAGGGCCCCAAGAGGCCTCAGCCCAAAAGCGCTCCGAATCACCGAACGAGCGATCCAAGACGCTCAAGATGGCCTTCATACGGCCCTCGAGGCCGCCGAGAAGCCCCAAGAGAGCCTCAAGAGGCTCTCCAAGAGGGCTCCAACAAGCAACAATCGTCTCAGTCCCTAGGGAAAGCGTACATTTTTCGCATATACGACGTCTGGGGTCCAGAGCGTCCAAACGTGCCTAAGTGGCCCCCAAGATCGCCCCAAGACGGCCCAACAAGCCACCAAGATAAGCCCAAGAGGGCCCAAGAGGGCCCCAAGACAGCCCCAGAGACCTCCAAGATGGCCCAAGACGCCACCACGACGGCTCTAAAAGCGAGCCCAGAAGGGGCACCCGAACGGACATTTCGAGCTTTTCGCCCGGAGAGGTCCCCAGGAGGCTCCAAGAGGCCGCCAACACACCTTCAAGAGGCCCACGGAGGCCCCGAAAAGGCCCACTGAAGGCCCCAGGAGGCCAAGAAGCTTCGAAGAGGCTCCCAAGAGGCCCCACGGGGGCTCTCTTGGGCTGTCCTGAGGCGCTCTGAAGCCGTTTTGAAGCCCTCTTGAGCGCCTCTGGAAACGTTTTGGGGCCGCCGCTCCCTGCAGCTCCGCACTGCCGACGACCTCTCGGCCAGGCCACCGCGGTGAACGACATGGGCCGGCGGAGTGAGCGAAGCGATCAAATAAGTATGTGGGGTTCCTCGGTAGCGTAATTCTCGGCCATTTTGGGGCTTTGTTGGGCCGTCTGGACGCCCTCGTGGGGCATCCATCTTGAGGCTATATTGGGCCTTTTGGGAGGCTTCTGGGGCGACCTAGAGGCCGCCTGGAACCGCTCGGGCCTTGGGGCCGTCATGGAACTTTATTGAGCAATCCTTGAACCTTCTTGGGCCGTGCTGGGTTCCTCCTGGAGCCTCTTGGGGGCGCCCCTGGGGCTATTCGAAACCGTCGAAGGCCTCTGGGGCCGTCTTCTGCCGTCCAAGGCCAGAAAAGGCGGGAAAACTAAATCCTGGAAGGAAATTGAAAAGCTACTTGTATAATCCCACGAGCCCTTTTGGGCGTCGGCGTAGGAGGTCTGGAGAGCGGTCTCTTCCAACCCCCTGTTTCCCCTTCGGGAAGGAATTTACCCCTCCCCCATACCCCTTGCCCTTGACCTGGAGGGGGGTTCCGCGACGCGTTGGAGCGTCCAAGATGGCCCAAGATGGCTCCAAGAGGGCCTCAGAGAGCCTCAGATGGCGCCATATGGCCCCCCAGCTGCTCCAAGAAGACCCAAGAACGCTCCAAGACGGCTGCCACGGAGCCTCCCCAAGAGGCCGCGAAGATGCCAAAGTCCTTCCAACACCTAGGGGAACTCAGTTAATGTTGTTTTCTCTCGCCTTGTCGCTTCCGATGGCCTCCCGAGGCCCTCAACACGGCCCCAAGATGGCCCGAGGAGAAGCCCAATAGAGTCCCAAGACGGCCCCCAAAGCGCCCAAGAGCGCTCCAAGAACGCCCCAAGAAGGGCCTGAGAGGCGAGTTTTGGGGCTCCCGACGAGGGGAGGTCGAAATTGGAGCTCCCATGGTGTTTTGATCGATCTCCTCCAAGATGGCCCCGGCAGCGCCCCCAAGACTCCCAAGAGCGCCCCAAAAGCCCCAAGAGGCGCCAGGGAGGCCCCTCAAAGCAAGAGACCTCCAAGGGACCCCAAGAGACCCCCAAGAGGCCTCAAGAGGATCCCCGATGCACCCAAGCCGATCAAAGACTGCCCTGGGCCCGCCAAGACGCCTCAACTCGCCTGGGCATCGTTTCTGGAGGGGCTGGTGGGGTTACTTGTTTCCGCGGCCGCAAGCGAAGGTGCAAGCGGCGTAAAAAATCGTCCCGGGCTACCTGCCAACCAATTGGTTGCCAGAGCTGCCGCCGAGGGACGCTGAGCAACTAGTGGGGTTATTTGTTTTACAACGGCCGCGGGCGAAGGCGCCGACGGCGTGTCCAGGCAGAGCGGGGCGCGCAAAGCCGAAACTGGTGGGGTTACTTTTTTGATCTGCGGCTTACAGGACGATTCCAGAGAGCGGGTCGTAGCAAGCTTGGGGCGACAAGCAAGATAATTGCCAGCGGGCCAAAAGCCAACGCCGGAATGCACATGCGAGGAACAAAATTAACCACAATAAGCGTCTGGAATTTTGCCTGCCTCGGGCCTTCCTGAAGCGCCACTTGGAGCCCTTTGGGGCGATGTCGGGCCCTCCGGAACCGTCCTGAGACCGTGTTAATCCATCTTGGAGCGCTGCCATCTGGACGCCATCTTGGGCTATCTTGAAGCCTTCGCTGGCTGTCTTGGAGGCATCCTGGGCAACCTTGGGGGCCTCCTGGGCGGCTCGGAGTCTCGCTGGAGCCAGCGCGGAGCTCCGAGGGGCGGCGGCCCCATTGCCACTGGACGGCTTTTCGCCACACGAAGGCCCGGGCATTTATAGAAAAGATGACGTCGGGCTCCAGCTTCGCCTCCTGCATCTCGTTCAGCGTCGCCAGAGCCCGCTGCCACTGCACGCCCTTGTGGCACGCGCTGATCCCAGCGTTGTAGCTGACTAGGGCTGACCCGTGGCCTACCGGCCACGATATGTTCTTTTATGTGGGCTCCGTGGTTGGGGGGGAGATGGTGCAGGAAGGCTTGTAGGATGACGTTCAGCGTGGCCTGCTGCTTCGCTCCTGCGTTTGGGGCGCCTCTTGGGCTCTCTTGACGCCCTCTCGGGCCTGTTTTCGTGCGTCTTGGGGACCTCTTGGGCCGTCTTGGGGCGGTCGTGGGGACCTGGAACCAGCTTCCGCGCCATATTTCCGACAAGCAGCGCATGCT